GGTGTGGTGACTTAGCATCTGTCTCATGGTCTGTCCCATCTGGAGACACAGCTACGTCATGTGAGACGTGACACCGAGTTGTCCTTAGCATCTTGAGATGGTCCGTGGCTCCATCTGCATGTCCCCACGCTCCTTTGCTAGTGTGCCATGCCAGGGAATTTCCAGTGGGACATGCTTCACAGCCCTCCTGCATGTCCACTTAGGAGATGGTGGGAGTAGGGGGTAAGAGACTGTGTGTGGCTGTGTCCAGATGTCAAGCGGGGCTGTGTTATGCAAATGCACTCAGGTGCCTTCTTGTTTTGCTTTTTCCTTAAACTTGGCCGGCCACACTGAACTTGATTTTTACATGGATGCAGGTGTGCACAAAGAGCTCGGGCTCCTCGCACAATGTGATGCCAAGCCCATGTTTGAGGGGCACTTATGTCATCCTTCCTCTGTGACTGAGACACGGAAGGGTGCCTGTCAGCCACCTGTCTGAGAAGTAGCTTTCATGTTCACTATCGTTGTGTGACGTGGCCTGGAAAGGCTCTTTCTCCTGATAAATGGGCTGAGTTCCATCAGTGCTTTGGGGAAGTGCAGCAGCTCTCCCAGGGCACATGGGTGACAGCCATGGGCCAACTGGAATGCCCTCAGAAAGAAGCTGCAAGGGCCTGTGTGTGCCCTCAGACGTGCTTGGACCCTGGTGCATCCTCTCCTGCTCCACGGTTGTGTGTCGTTGAGGCTGTGTGAGCACTCTGCTAGAAATCCATTTTTGTGGCCCATGGGCCTCTGGATCCTGGCACATTTTCTGGTGCGTGAGTTGACATGCGGGGGCCTCTGTGGTCGGGAGGTGCAGGGGAGGCAGGAGTAGGTTTCTGATCCTGGTCCAGAACATGGTAGTGGAGGGGAGGGGGTGTTCCTGGGCGGGAGGGGAGTGAGCCCAATGACAAGCAACAGCCCAGGACCCAGAACACCCTGGCTGGCCAGGGCCTGCAGTTGTCTCATAGCCTCTGCCTTCTGAGCTCCTCAGGAAGTCACCGAGCCACATGGCAGCTGCAGATGGCTTGGTTTCTCTTGCGAGGCTCAGGGTTATGGGGCAGGTTTGTTCCGTGGCCATGTTGGCCTTCTTGGTGCATCCTAGCATTGCTCTTGTGCCCAGGAAGAATGGCATTTTGACGGTCCTGTTCCCAGAAGCATGGGATTGAGGGGCCCACTTTGGTCAGGTTTCAGCTGCTAGGAAGCTTCTTAGGACACAGTCTCCAAGGCCCTGGCAATTCAGTGGATCTCGTGGGGTGTGTCTGAAACCAGCAAGGGTTATGTGTGCTTGTGCCCCGAAATGCCACCCAGGAGCCGATTTGGGGAAGGAGTCTGTGCGGCTCCCACATGACTCCGTGTATGCGTCGGATCCCATCCTGTGTGCCTGGTTTTGAGCTTCTCCCTGTGCTGAGATGAGCTTCCGAGAAGACTCGGAAGCATTGTGGGTGTCTGAGATGGGCAGGGCAAGTCTCCCCTGTTGCTTGTGATTGTGAGACGAGTCCATCTCCTGCAGCATGACCAGACAGTTTGGGCTTGTGTGCTTTCGCGTGTTGATCCCTGTTTGTGAATGTGAGCCCATGCTGACCAGTGGGGCTGGATCACATCCTACCCGCTGGGGGTGAATGGGGCTAGGTTGCACCTGCAAAGGGGCCCACCTGCATCAGGGCTCATCTCTCTCCTGAGGGACTGGAGGGAGCGGTGAGCACAGCCAGCTGGCTGCTTCTCCTTGGCACAACCCCATGCCTTGAAACAGCCACTGCAGACCAAGTTCCCTGAGCCTGCCCACCCTTCCTCAGCAGCTCAGATGGCTCACAGCTGCCCAGAACAGAGGCACTTTCTGCCTGCAGGTTTGTCCCTGTGTCCTGGAGAGCAAGGCAGGGGACATCTGGTATTCTCCTGGGTGTCCACAGCCACAAACAACGGTGGCACTCCTTTACTGAGGAAAGTGAGAGCGAGCACGAGAGAGCTGTGGCCTGAATCCTGATGGCTTCCTTAGGAGACCATTCATGTCTCTGAAAGTTCCTTTGTGTCTACAAGACTTGTCCAATGTAGAGTGTATTCTGAATACCACCTTCCTGGCCCACATCTGGAGCCCTTCATGGCCTAGTGCTTCTCGAGTGCCTTTTGCAATGGGAGCTGCACACAAGCCAGAGCCAGGGACAGGAAGCAAGCTTGCACAGTGGGCAGACATGAAGCCATAGTGTGGTTCAGAGGCTGAAGCGATCTTGCCACCCATCACTCCTCACTCCTGGTTTGATTCTGCCTCAAGGTCTCCTTCTGGTGCCTCAGGGAGAACAGGGGTTCCACAGGAGCTGAGAGTGATGCCTGGGTGGACATCAGGCTGGTTCCTGCTTTCTGATGTGACTGGGAGACTGTTGTGTGTGCCTCTACTGAGATGAATTTGCTTTGTTCTTCCACAGAACCGAGCTTGCAGAGTCCCGGACCTGCTGCCGAACCACCAGTCAGGTATGGAGAAGGAGCTATGCTAGGTCCTGGGAGTCGATGGGAACATGAGCTTGGTACAAGCCCATATGGCTTCTGTCCTCGGTGCTCTGAGTTTCAGCAGGGTGGCAAGGGTGTGGTGACTTAGCATCTGTCTCATGGTCTGTCCCATCTGGAGACACAGCTACGTCATGTGAGACGTGACACCGAGTTGTCCTTAGCATCTTGAGATGGTCCGTGGCTCCATCTGCATGTCCCCACGCTCCTTTGCTAGTGTGCCATGCCAGGGAATTTCCAGTGGGACATGCTTCACAGCCCTCCTGCATGTCCACTTAGGAGATGGTGGGAGTAGGGGGTAAGAGACTGTGTGTGGCTGTGTCCAGATGTCAAGCGGGGCTGTGTTATGCAAATGCACTCAGGTGCCTTCTTGTTTTGCTTTTTCCTTAAACTTGGCCGGCCACACTGAACTTGATTTTTACATGGATGCAGGTGTGCACAAAGAGCTCGGGCTCCTCGCACAATGTGATGCCAAGCCCATGTTTGAGGGGCACTTATGTCATCCTTCCTCTGTGACTGAGACACGGAAGGGTGCCTGTCAGCCACCTGTCTGAGAAGTAGCTTTCATGTTCACTATCGTTGTGTGACGTGGCCTGGAAAGGCTCTTTCTCCTGATAAATGGGCTGAGTTCCATCAGTGCTTTGGGGAAGTGCAGCAGCTCTCCCAGGGCACATGGGTGACAGCCATGGGCCAACTGGAATGCCCTCAGAAAGAAGCTGCAAGGGCCTGTGTGTGCCCTCAGACGTGCTTGGACCCTGGTGCATCCTCTCCTGCTCCACGGTTGTGTGTCGTTGAGGCTGTGTGAGCACTCTGCTAGAAATCCATTTTTGTGGCCCATGGGCCTCTGGATCCTGGCACATTTTCTGGTGCGTGAGTTGACATGCGGGGGCCTCTGTGGTCGGGAGGTGCAGGGGAGGCAGGAGTAGGTTTCTGATCCTGGTCCAGAACATGGTAGTGGAGGGGAGGGGGTGTTCCTGGGCGGGAGGGGAGTGAGCCCAATGACAAGCAACAGCCCAGGACCCAGAACACCCTGGCTGGCCAGGGCCTGCAGTTGTCTCATAGCCTCTGCCTTCTGAGCTCCTCAGGAAGTCACCGAGCCACATGGCAGCTGCAGATGGCTTGGTTTCTCTTGCGAGGCTCAGGGTTATGGGGCAGGTTTGTTCCGTGGCCATGTTGGCCTTCTTGGTGCATCCTAGCATTGCTCTTGTGCCCAGGAAGAATGGCATTTTGACGGTCCTGTTCCCAGAAGCATGGGATTGAGGGGCCCACTTTGGTCAGGTTTCAGCTGCTAGGAAGCTTCTTAGGACACAGTCTCCAAGGCCCTGGCAATTCAGTGGATCTCGTGGGGTGTGTCTGAAACCAGCAAGGGTTATGTGTGCTTGTGCCCCGAAATGCCACCCAGGAGCCGATTTGGGGAAGGAGTCTGTGCGGCTCCCACATGACTCCGTGTATGCGTCGGATCCCATCCTGTGTGCCTGGTTTTGAGCTTCTCCCTGTGCTGAGATGAGCTTCCGAGAAGACTCGGAAGCATTGTGGGTGTCTGAGATGGGCAGGGCAAGTCTCCCCTGTTGCTTGTGATTGTGAGACGAGTCCATCTCCTGCAGCATGACCAGACAGTTTGGGCTTGTGTGCTTTCGCGTGTTGATCCCTGTTTGTGAATGTGAGCCCATGCTGACCAGTGGGGCTGGATCACATCCTACCCGCTGGGGGTGAATGGGGCTAGGTTGCACCTGCAAAGGGGCCCACCTGCATCAGGGCTCATCTCTCTCCTGAGGGACTGGAGGGAGCGGTGAGCACAGCCAGCTGGCTGCTTCTCCTTGGCACAACCCCATGCCTTGAAACAGCCACTGCAGACCAAGTTCCCTGAGCCTGCCCACCCTTCCTCAGCAGCTCAGATGGCTCACAGCTGCCCAGAACAGAGGCACTTTCTGCCTGCAGGTTTGTCCCTGTGTCCTGGAGAGCAAGGCAGGGGACATCTGGTATTCTCCTGGGTGTCCACAGCCACAAACAACGGTGGCACTCCTTTACTGAGGAAAGTGAGAGCGAGCACGAGAGAGCTGTGGCCTGAATCCTGATGGCTTCCTTAGGAGACCATTCATGTCTCTGAAAGTTCCTTTGTGTCTACAAGACTTGTCCAATGTAGAGTGTATTCTGAATACCACCTTCCTGGCCCACATCTGGAGCCCTTCATGGCCTAGTGCTTCTCGAGTGCCTTTTGCAATGGGAGCTGCACACAAGCCAGAGCCAGGGACAGGAAGCAAGCTTGCACAGTGGGCAGACATGAAGCCATAGTGTGGTTCAGAGGCTGAAGCGATCTTGCCACCCATCACTCCTCACTCCTGGTTTGATTCTGCCTCAAGGTCTCCTTCTGGTGCCTCAGGGAGAACAGGGGTTCCACAGGAGCTGAGAGTGATGCCTGGGTGGACATCAGGCTGGTTCCTGCTCTCTGATGTGACTGGGAGACTGTTGTGTGTGCCTCTACTGAGATGAATTTGCTTTGTTCTTCCACAGAACCGAGCTTGCAGAGTCCCGGACCTGCTGCCGAACCACAGTCAGGTATGGAGAAGGAGCTATGCTAGGTCCTGGGAGTCGATGGGAACATGAGCTTGGTACAAGCCCATATGGCTTCTGTCCTCGGTGCTCTGAGTTTCAGCAGGGTGGCAAGGGTGTGGTGACTTAGCATCTGTCTCATGGTCTGTCCCATCTGGAGACACAGCTACGTCATGTGAGACGTGACACCGAGTTGTCCTTAGCATCTTGAGATGGTCCGTGGCTCCATCTGCATGTCCCCACGCTCCTTTGCTAGTGTGCCATGCCAGGGAATTTCCAGTGGGACATGCTTCACAGCCCTCCTGCATGTCCACTTAGGAGATGGTGGGAGTAGGGGGTAAGAGACTGTGTGTGGCTGTGTCCAGATGTCAAGCGGGGCTGTGTTATGCAAATGCACTCAGGTGCCTTCTTGTTTTGCTTTTTCCTTAAACTTGGCCGGCCACACTGAACTTGATTTTTACATGGATGCAGGTATGGACAAAGAGCTCGGGCTCCTCGCACAATGTGATGCCAAGCCCATGTTTGAGGGGCACTTATGTCATCCTTCCTCTGTGACTGAGACACGGAAGGGTGCCTGTCAGCCACCTGTCTGAGAAGTAGCTTTCATGTTCACTATCGTTGTGTGACGTGGCCTGGAAAGGCTCTTTCTCCTGATAAATGGGCTGAGTTCCATCAGTGCTTTGGGGAAGTGCAGCAGCTCTCCCAGGGCACATGGGTGACAGCCATGGGCCAACTGGAATGCCCTCAGAAAGAAGCTGCAAGGGCCTGTGTGTGCCCTCAGACGTGCTTGGACCCTGGTGCATCCTCTCCTGCTCCACGGTTGTGTGTCGTTGAGGCTGTGTGAGCACTCTGCTAGAAATCCATTTTTGTGGCCCATGGGCCTCTGGATCCTGGCACATTTTCTGGTGCGTGAGTTGACATGCGGGGGCCTCTGTGGTCGGGAGGTACAGGGGAGGCAGGAGTAGGTTTCTGATCCTGGTCCAGAACATGGTAGTGGAGGGGAGGGGGTGTTCCTGGGCGGGAGGGGAGTGAGCCCAATGACAAGCAACAGCCCAGGACCCAGAACACCCTGGCTGGCCAGGGCCTGCAGTTGTCTCATAGCCTCTGCCTTCTGAGCTCCTCAGGAAGTCACCGAGCCACATGGCAGCTGCAGATGGCTTGGTTTCTCTTGCGAGGCTCAGGGTTATGGGGCAGGTTTGTTCCGTGGCCATGTTGGCCTTCTTGGTGCATCCTAGCATTGCTCTTGTGCCCAGGAAGAATGGCATTTTGACGGTCCTGTTCCCAGAAGCATGGGATTGAGGGGCCCACTTTGGTCAGGTTTCAGCTGCTAGGAAGCTTCTTAGGACACAGTCTCCAAGGCCCTGGCAATTCAGTGGATCTCGTGGGGTGTGTCTGAAACCAGCAAGGGTTATGTGTGCTTGTGCCCCGAAATGCCACCCAGGAGCCGATTTGGGGAAGGAGTCTGTGCGGCTCCCACATGACTCCGTGTATGCGTCGGATCCCATCCTGTGTGCCTGGTTTTGAGCTTCTCCCTGTGCTGAGATGAGCTTCCGAGAAGACTCGGAAGCATTGTGGGTGTCTGAGATGGGCAGGGCAAGTCTCCCCTGTTGCTTGTGATTGTGAGACGAGTCCATCTCCTGCAGCATGACCAGACAGTTTGGGCTTGTGTGCTTTCGCGTGTTGATCCCTGTTTGTGAATGTGAGCCCATGCTGACCAGTGGGGCTGGATCACATCCTACCCGCTGGGGGTGAATGGGGCTAGGTTGCACCTGCAAAGGGGCCCACCTGCATCAGGGCTCATCTCTCTCCTGAGGGACTGGAGGGAGCGGTGAGCACAGCCAGCTGGCTGCTTCTCCTTGGCACAACCCCATGCCTTGAAACAGCCACTGCAGACCAAGTTCCCTGAGCCTGCCCACCCTTCCTCAGCAGCTCAGATGGCTCACAGCTGCCCAGAACAGAGGCACTTTCTGCCTGCAGGTTTGTCCCTGTGTCCTGGAGAGCAAGGCAGGGGACATCTGGTATTCTCCTGGGTGTCCACAGCCACAAACAACGGTGGCACTCCTTTACTGAGGAAAGTGAGAGCGAGCACGAGAGAGCTGTGGCCTGAATCCTGATGGCTTCCTTAGGAGACCATTCATGTCTCTGAAAGTTCCTTTGTGTCTACAAGACTTGTCCAATGTAGAGTGTATTCTGAATACCACCTTCCTGGCCCACATCTGGAGCCCTTCATGGCCTAGTGCTTCTCGAGTGCCTTTTGCAATGGGAGCTGCACACAAGCCAGAGCCAGGGACAGGAAGCAAGCTTGCACAGTGGGCAGACATGAAGCCATAGTGTGGTTCAGAGGCTGAAGCGATCTTGCCACCCATCACTCCTCACTCCTGGTTTGATTCTGCCTCAAGGTCTCCTTCTGGTGCCTCAGGGAGAACAGGGGTTCCACAGGAGCTGAGAGTGATGCCTGGGTGGACATCAGGCTGGTTCCTGCTCTCTGATGTGACTGGGAGACTGTTGTGTGTGCCTCTACTGAGATGAATTTGCTTTGTTCTTCCACAGAACCGAGCTTGCAGAGTCCCGGACCTGCTGCCGAACCACAGTCAGGTATGGAGAAGGAGCTATGCTAGGTCCTGGGAGTCGATGGGAACATGAGCTTGGTACAAGCCCATATGGCTTCTGTCCTCGGTGCTCTGAGTTTCAGCAGGGTGGCAAGGGTGTGGTGACTTAGCATCTGTCTCATGGTCTGTCCCATCTGGAGACACAGCTACGTCATGTGAGACGTGACACCGAGTTGTCCTTAGCATCTTGAGATGGTCCGTGGCTCCATCTGCATGTCCCCACGCTCCTTTGCTAGTGTGCCATGCCAGGGAATTTCCAGTGGGACATGCTTCACAGCCCTCCTGCATGTCCACTTAGGAGATGGTGGGAGTAGGGGGTAAGAGACTGTGTGTGGCTGTGTCCAGATGTCAAGCGGGGCTGTGTTATGCAAATGCACTCAGGTGCCTTCTTGTTTTGCTTTTTCCTTAAACTTGGCCGGCCACACTGAACTTGATTTTTACATGGATGCAGGTATGGACAAAGAGCTCGGGCTCCTCGCACAATGTGATGCCAAGCCCATGTTTGAGGGGCACTTATGTCATCCTTCCTCTGTGACTGAGACACGGAAGGGTGCCTGTCAGCCACCTGTCTGAGAAGTAGCTTTCATGTTCACTATCGTTGTGTGACGTGGCCTGGAAAGGCTCTTTCTCCTGATAAATGGGCTGAGTTCCATCAGTGCTTTGGGGAAGTGCAGCAGCTCTCCCAGGGCACATGGGTGACAGCCATGGGCCAACTGGAATGCCCTCAGAAAGAAGCTGCAAGGGCCTGTGTGTGCCCTCAGACGTGCTTGGACCCTGGTGCATCCTCTCCTGCTCCACGGTTGTGTGTCGTTGAGGCTGTGTGAGCACTCTGCTAGAAATCCATTTTTGTGGCCCATGGGCCTCTGGATCCTGGCACATTTTCTGGTGCGTGAGTTGACATGCGGGGGCCTCTGTGGTCGGGAGGTACAGGGGAGGCAGGAGTAGGTTTCTGATCCTGGTCCAGAACATGGTAGTGGAGGGGAGGGGGTGTTCCTGGGCGGGAGGGGAGTGAGCCCAATGACAAGCAACAGCCCAGGACCCAGAACACCCTGGCTGGCCAGGGCCTGCAGTTGTCTCATAGCCTCTGCCTTCTGAGCTCCTCAGGAAGTCACCGAGCCACATGGCAGCTGCAGATGGCTTGGTTTCTCTTGCGAGGCTCAGGGTTATGGGGCAGGTTTGTTCCGTGGCCATGTTGGCCTTCTTGGTGCATCCTAGCATTGCTCTTGTGCCCAGGAAGAATGGCATTTTGACGGTCCTGTTCCCAGAAGCATGGGATTGAGGGGCCCACTTTGGTCAGGTTTCAGCTGCTAGGAAGCTTCTTAGGACACAGTCTCCAAGGCCCTGGCAATTCAGTGGATCTCGTGGGGTGTGTCTGAAACCAGCAAGGGTTATGTGTGCTTGTGCCCCGAAATGCCACCCAGGAGCCGATTTGGGGAAGGAGTCTGTGCGGCTCCCACATGACTCCGTGTATGCGTCGGATCCCATCCTGTGTGCCTGGTTTTGAGCTTCTCCCTGTGCTGAGATGAGCTTCCGAGAAGACTCGGAAGCATTGTGGGTGTCTGAGATGGGCAGGGCAAGTCTCCCCTGTTGCTTGTGATTGTGAGACGAGTCCATCTCCTGCAGCATGACCAGACAGTTTGGGCTTGTGTGCTTTCGCGTGTTGATCCCTGTTTGTGAATGTGAGCCCATGCTGACCAGTGGGGCTGGATCACATCCTACCCGCTGGGGGTGAATGGGGCTAGGTTGCACCTGCAAAGGGGCCCACCTGCATCAGGGCTCATCTCTCTCCTGAGGGACTGGAGGGAGCGGTGAGCACAGCCAGCTGGCTGCTTCTCCTTGGCACAACCCCATGCCTTGAAACAGCCACTGCAGACCAAGTTCCCTGAGCCTGCCCACCCTTCCTCAGCAGCTCAGATGGCTCACAGCTGCCCAGAACAGAGGCACTTTCTGCCTGCAGGTTTGTCCCTGTGTCCTGGAGAGCAAGGCAGGGGACATCTGGTATCCTCCTGGGTGTCCACAGCCACAAACAACGGTGGCACTCCTTTACTGAGGAAAGTGAGAGCGAGCACGAGAGAGCTGTGGCCTGAATCCTGATGGCTTCCTTAGGAGACCATTCATGTCTCTGAAAGTTCCTTTGTGTCTACAAGACTTGTCCAATGTAGAGTGTATTCTGAATACCACCTTCCTGGCCCACATCTGGAGCCCTTCATGGCCTAGTGCTTCTCGAGTGCCTTTTGCAATGGGAGCTGCACACAAGCCAGAGCCAGGGACAGGAAGCAAGCTTGCACAGTGGGCAGACATGAAGCCATAGTGTGGTTCAGAGGCTGAAGCGATCTTGCCACCCATCACTCCTCACTCCTGGTTTGATTCTGCCTCAAGGTCTCCTTCTGGTGCCTCAGGGAGAACAGGGGTTCCACAGGAGCTGAGAGTGATGCCTGGGTGGACATCAGGCTGGTTCCTGCTCTCTGATGTGACTGGGAGACTGTTGTGTGTGCCTCTACTGAGATGAATTTGCTTTGTTCTTCCACAGAACCGAGCTTGCAGAGTCCCGGACCTGCTGCCGAACCACAGTCAGGTATGGAGAAGGAGCTATGCTAGGTCCTGGGAGTCGATGGGAACATGAGCTTGGTACAAGCCCATATGGCTTCTGTCCTCGGTGCTCTGAGTTTCAGCAGGGTGGCAAGGGTGTGGTGACTTAGCATCTGTCTCATGGTCTGTCCCATCTGGAGACACAGCTACGTCATGTGAGACGTGACACCGAGTTGTCCTTAGCATCTTGAGATGGTCCGTGGCTCCATCTGCATGTCCCCACGCTCCTTTGCTAGTGTGCCATGCCAGGGAATTTCCAGTGGGACATGCTTCACAGCCCTCCTGCATGTCCACTTAGGAGATGGTGGGAGTAGGGGGTAAGAGACTGTGTGTGGCTGTGTCCAGATGTCAAGCGGGGCTGTGTTATGCAAATGCACTCAGGTGCCTTCTTGTTTTGCTTTTTCCTTAAACTTGGCCGGCCACACTGAACTTGATTTTTACATGGATGCAGGTATGGACAAAGAGCTCGGGCTCCTCGCACAATGTGATGCCAAGCCCATGTTTGAGGGGCACTTATGTCATCCTTCCTCTGTGACTGAGACACGGAAGGGTGCCTGTCAGCCACCTGTCTGAGAAGTAGCTTTCATGTTCACTATCGTTGTGTGACGTGGCCTGGAAAGGCTCTTTCTCCTGATAAATGGGCTGAGTTCCATCAGTGCTTTGGGGAAGTGCAGCAGCTCTCCCAGGGCACATGGGTGACAGCCATGGGCCAACTGGAATGCCCTCAGAAAGAAGCTGCAAGGGCCTGTGTGTGCCCTCAGACGTGCTTGGACCCTGGTGCATCCTCTCCTGCTCCACGGTTGTGTGTCGTTGAGGCTGTGTGAGCACTCTGCTAGAAATCCATTTTTGTGGCCCATGGGCCTCTGGATCCTGGCACATTTTCTGGTGCGTGAGTTGACATGCGGGGGCCTCTGTGGTCGGGAGGTACAGGGGAGGCAGGAGTAGGTTTCTGATCCTGGTCCAGAACATGGTAGTGGAGGGGAGGGGGTGTTCCTGGGCGGGAGGGGAGTGAGCCCAATGACAAGCAACAGCCCAGGACCCAGAACACCCTGGCTGGCCAGGGCCTGCAGTTGTCTCATCATAGCCTCTGCCTTCTGAGCTCCTCAGGAAGTCACCGAGCCACATGGCAGCTGCAGATGGCTTGGTTTCTCTTGCGAGGCTCAGGGTTATGGGGCAGGTTTGTTCCGTGGCCATGTTGGCCTTCTTGGTGCATCCTAGCATTGCTCTTGTGCCCAGGAAGAATGGCATTTTGACGGTCCTGTTCCCAGAAGCATGGGATTGAGGGGCCCACTTTGGTCAGGTTTCAGCTGCTAGGAAGCTTCTTAGGACACAGTCTCCAAGGCCCTGGCAATTCAGTGGATCTCGTGGGGTGTGTCTGAAACCAGCAAGGGTTATGTGTGCTTGTGCCCCGAAATGCCACCCAGGAGCCGATTTGGGGAAGGAGTCTGTGCGGCTCCCACATGACTCCGTGTATGCGTCGGATCCCATCCTGTGTGCCTGGTTTTGAGCTTCTCCCTGTGCTGAGATGAGCTTCCGAGAAGACTCGGAAGCATTGTGGGTGTCTGAGATGGGCAGGGCAAGTCTCCCCTGTTGCTTGTGATTGTGAGACGAGTCCATCTCCTGCAGCATGACCAGACAGTTTGGGCTTGTGTGCTTTCGCGTGTTGATCCCTGTTTGTGAATGTGAGCCCATGCTGACCAGTGGGGCTGGATCACATCCTACCCGCTGGGGGTGAATGGGGCTAGGTTGCACCTGCAAAGGGGCCCACCTGCATCAGGGCTCATCTCTCTCCTGAGGGACTGGAGGGAGCGGTGAGCACAGCCAGCTGGCTGCTTCTCCTTGGCACAACCCCATGCCTTGAAACAGCCACTGCAGACCAAGTTCCCTGAGCCTGCCCACCCTTCCTCAGCAGCTCAGATGGCTCACAGCTGCCCAGAACAGAGGCACTTTCTGCCTGCAGGTTTGTCCCTGTGTCCTGGAGAGCAAGGCAGGGGACATCTGGTATCCTCCTGGGTGTCCACAGCCACAAACAACGGTGGCACTCCTTTACTGAGGAAAGTGAGAGCGAGCACGAGAGAGCTGTGGCCTGAATCCTGATGGCTTCCTTAGGAGACCATTCATGTCTCTGAAAGTTCCTTTGTGTCTACAAGACTTGTCCAATGTAGAGTGTATTCTGAATACCACCTTCCTGGCCCACATCTGGAGCCCTTCATGGCCTAGTGCTTCTCGAGTGCCTTTTGCAATGGGAGCTGCACACAAGCCAGAGCCAGGGACAGGAAGCAAGCTTGCACAGTGGGCAGACATGAAGCCATAGTGTGGTTCAGAGGCTGAAGCGATCTTGCCACCCATCACTCCTCACTCCTGGTTTGATTCTGCCTCAAGGTCTCCTTCTGGTGCCTCAGGGAGAACAGGGGTTCCACAGGAGCTGAGAGTGATGCCTGGGTGGACATCAGGCTGGTTCCTGCTCTCTGATGTGACTGGGAGACTGTTGTGTGTGCCTCTACTGAGATGAATTTGCTTTGTTCTTCCACAGAACCGAGCTTGCAGAGTCCCGGACCTGCTGCCGAACCACAGTCAGGTATGGAGAAGGAGCTATGCTAGGTCCTGGGAGTCGATGGGAACATGAGCTTGGTACAAGCCCATATGGCTTCTGTCCTCGGTGCTCTGAGTTTCAGCAGGGTGGCAAGGGTGTGGTGACTTAGCATCTGTCTCATGGTCTGTCCCATCTGGAGACACAGCTACGTCATGTGAGACGTGACACCGAGTTGTCCTTAGCATCTTGAGATGGTCCGTGGCTCCATCTGCATGTCCCCACGCTCCTTTGCTAGTGTGCCATGCCAGGGAATTTCCAGTGGGACATGCTTCACAGCCCTCCTGCATGTCCACTTAGGAGATGGTGGGAGTAGGGGGTAAGAGACTGTGTGTGGCTGTGTCCAGATGTCAAGCGGGGCTGTGTTATGCAAATGCACTCAGGTGCCTTCTTGTTTTGCTTTTTCCTTAAACTTGGCCGGCCACACTGAACTTGATTTTTACATGGATGCAGGTATGGACAAAGAGCTCGGGCTCCTCGCACAATGTGATGCCAAGCCCATGTTTGAGGGGCACTTATGTCATCCTTCCTCTGTGACTGAGACACGGAAGGGTGCCTGTCAGCCACCTGTCTGAGAAGTAGCTTTCATGTTCACTATCGTTGTGTGACGTGGCCTGGAAAGGCTCTTTCTCCTGATAAATGGGCTGAGTTCCATCAGTGCTTTGGGGAAGTGCAGCAGCTCTCCCAGGGCACATGGGTGACAGCCATGGGCCAACTGGAATGCCCTCAGAAAGAAGCTGCAAGGGCCTGTGTGTGCCCTCAGACGTGCTTGGACCCTGGTGCATCCTCTCCTGCTCCACGGTTGTGTGTCGTTGAGGCTGTGTGAGCACTCTGCTAGAAATCCATTTTTGTGGCCCATGGGCCTCTGGATCCTGGCACATTTTCTGGTGCGTGAGTTGACATGCGGGGGCCTCTGTGGTCGGGAGGTACAGGGGAGGCAGGAGTAGGTTTCTGATCCTGGTCCAGAACATGGTAGTGGAGGGGAGGGGGTGTTCCTGGGCGGGAGGGGAGTGAGCCCAATGACAAGCAACAGCCCAGGACCCAGAACACCCTGGCTGGCCAGGGCCTGCAGTTGTCTCATAGCATAGCCTCTGCCTTCTGAGCTCCTCAGGAAGTCACCGAGCCACATGGCAGCTGCAGATGGCTTGGTTTCTCTTGCGAGGCTCAGGGTTATGGGGCAGGTTTGTTCCGTGGCCATGTTGGCCTTCTTGGTGCATCCTAGCATTGCTCTTGTGCCCAGGAAGAATGGCATTTTGACGGTCCTGTTCCCAGAAGCATGGGATTGAGGGGCCCACTTTGGTCAGGTTTCAGCTGCTAGGAAGCTTCTTAGGACACAGTCTCCAAGGCCCTGGCAATTCAGTGGATCTCGTGGGGTGTGTCTGAAACCAGCAAGGGTTATGTGTGCTTGTGCCCCGAAATGCCACCCAGGAGCCGATTTGGGGAAGGAGTCTGTGCGGCTCCCACATGACTCCGTGTATGCGTCGGATCCCATCCTGTGTGCCTGGTTTTGAGCTTCTCCCTGTGCTGAGATGAGCTTCCGAGAAGACTCGGAAGCATTGTGGGTGTCTGAGATGGGCAGGGCAAGTCTCCCCTGTTGCTTGTGATTGTGAGACGAGTCCATCTCCTGCAGCATGACCAGACAGTTTGGGCTTGTGTGCTTTCGCGTGTTGATCCCTGTTTGTGAATGTGAGCCCATGCTGACCAGTGGGGCTGGATCACATCCTACCCGCTGGGGGTGAATGGGGCTAGGTTGCACCTGCAAAGGGGCCCACCTGCATCAGGGCTCATCTCTCTCCTGAGGGACTGGAGGGAGCGGTGAGCACAGCCAGCTGGCTGCTTCTCCTTGGCACAACCCCATGCCTTGAAACAGCCACTGCAGACCAAGTTCCCTGAGCCTGCCCACCCTTCCTCAGCAGCTCAGATGGCTCACAGCTGCCCAGAACAGAGGCACTTTCTGCCTGCAGGTTTGTCCCTGTGTCCTGGAGAGCAAGGCAGGGGACATCTGGTATCCTCCTGGGTGTCCACAGCCACAAACAACGGTGGCACTCCTTTACTGAGGAAAGTGAGAGCGAGCACGAGAGAGCTGTGGCCTGAATCCTGATGGCTTCCTTAGGAGACCATTCATGTCTCTGAAAGTTCCTTTGTGTCTACAAGACTTGTCCAATGTAGAGTGTATTCTGAATACCACCTTCCTGGCCCACATCTGGAGCCCTTCATGGCCTAGTGCTTCTCGAGTGCCTTTTGCAATGGGAGCTGCACACAAGCCAGAGCCAGGGACAGGAAGCAAGCTTGCACAGTGGGCAGACATGAAGCCATAGTGTGGTTCAGAGGCTGAAGCGATCTTGCCACCCATCACTCCTCACTCCTGGTTTGATTCTGCCTCAAGGTCTCCTTCTGGTGCCTCAGGGAGAACAGGGGTTCCACAGGAGCTGAGAGTGATGCCTGGGTGGACATCAGGCTGGTTCCTGCTTTCTGATGTGACTGGGAGACTGTTGTGTGTGCCTCTACTGAGATGAATTTGCTTTGTTCTTCCACAGAACCGAGCTTGCAGAGTCCCGGACCTGCTGCCGAACCACAGTCAGGTATGGAGAAGGAGCTATGCTAGGTCCTGGGAGTCGATGGGAACATGAGCTTGGTACAAGCCCATATGGCTTCTGTCCTCGGTGCTCTGAGTTTCAGCAGGGTGGCAAGGGTGTGGTGACTTAGCATCTGTCTCATGGTCTGTCCCATCTGGAGACACAGCTACGTCATGTGAGACGTGACACCGAGTTGTCCTTAGCATCTTGAGATGGTCCGTGGCTCCATCTGCATGTCCCCACGCTCCTTTGCTAGTGTGCCATGCCAGGGAATTTCCAGTGGGACATGCTTCACAGCCCTCCTGCATGTCCACTTAGGAGATGGTGGGAGTAGGGGGTAAGAGACTGTGTGTGGCTGTGTCCAGATGTCAAGCGGGGCTGTGTTATGCAAATGCACTCAGGTGCCTTCTTGTTTTGCTTTTTCCTTAAACTTGGCCGGCCACACTGAACTTGATTTTTACATGGATGCAGGTATGGACAAAGAGCTCGGGCTCCTCGCACAATGTGATGCCAAGCCCATGTTTGAGGGGCACTTATGTCATCCTTCCTCTGTGACTGAGACACGGAAGGGTGCCTGTCAGCCACCTGTCTGAGAAGTAGCTTTCATGTTCACTATCGTTGTGTGACGTGGCCTGGAAAGGCTCTTTCTCCTGATAAATGGGCTGAGTTCCATCAGTGCTTTGGGGAAGTGCAGCAGCTCTCCCAGGGCACATGGGTGACAGCCATGGGCCAACTGGAATGCCCTCAGAAAGAAGCTGCAAGGGCCTGTGTGTGCCCTCAGACGTGCTTGGACCCTGGTGCATCCTCTCCTGCTCCACGGTTGTGTGTCGTTGAGGCTGTGTGAGCACTCTGCTAGAAATCCATTTTTGTGGCCCATGGGCCTCTGGATCCTGGCACATTTTCTGGTGCGTGAGTTGACATGCGGGGGCCTCTGTGGTCGGGAGGTACAGGGGAGGCAGGAGTAGGTTTCTGATCCTGGTCCAGAACATGGTAGTGGAGGGGAGGGGGTGTTCCTGGGAGGGAGGGGAGTGAGCCCAATGACAAGCAACAGCCCAGGACCCAGAACACCCTGGCTGGCCAGGGCCTGCAGTTGTCTCATAGCATAGCCTCTGCCTTCTGAGCTCCTCAGGAAGTCACCGAGCCACATGGCAGCTGCAGATGGCTTGGTTTCTCTTGCGAGGCTCAGGGTTATGGGGCAGGTTTGTTCCGTGGCCATGTTGGCCTTCTTGGTGCATCCTAGCATTGCTCTTGTGCCCAGGAAGAATGGCATTTTGACGGTCCTGTTCCCAGAAGCATGGGATTGAGGGGCCCACTTTGGTCAGGTTTCAGCTGCTAGGAAGCTTCTTAGGACACAGTCTCCAAGGCCCTGGCAATTCAGTGGATCTCGTGGGGTGTGTCTGAAACCAGCAAGGGTTATGTGTGCTTGTGCCCCGAAATGCCACCCAGGAGCCGATTTGGGGAAGGAGTCTGTGCGGCTCCCACATGACTCCGTGTATGCGTCGGATCCCATCCTGTGTGCCTGGTTTTGAGCTTCTCCCTGTGCTGAGATGAGCTTCCGAGAAGACTCGGAAGCATTGTGGGTGTCTGAGATGGGCAGGGCAAGTCTCCCCTGTTGCTTGTGATTGTGAGACGAGTCCATCTCCTGCAGCATGACCAGACAGTTTGGGCTTGTGTGCTTTCGCGTGTTGATCCCTGTTTGTGAATGTGAGCCCATGCTGACCAGTGGGGCTGGATCACATCCTACCCGCTGGGGGTGAATGGGGCTAGGTTGCACCTGCAAAGGGGCCCACCTGCATCAGGGCTCATCTCTCTCCTGAGGGACTGGAGGGAGCGGTGAGCACAGCCAGCTGGCTGCTTCTCCTTGGCACAACCCCATGCCTTGAAACAGCCACTGCAGACCAAGTTCCCTGAGCCTGCCCACCCTTCCTCAGCAGCTCAGATGGCTCACAGCTGCCCAGAACAGAGGCACTTTCTGCCTGCAGGTTTGTCCCTGTGTCCTGGAGAGCAAGGCAGGGGACATCTGGTATCCTCCTGGGTGTCCACAGCCACAAACAACGGTGGCACTCCTTTACTGAGGAAAGTGAGAGCGAGCACGAGAGAGCTGTGGCCTGAATCCTGATGGCTTCCTTAGGAGACCATTCATGTCTCTGAAAGTTCCTTTGTGTCTACAAGACTTGTCCAATGTAGAGTGTATTCTGAATACCACCTTCCTGGCCCACATCTGGAGCCCTTCATGGCCTAGTGCTTCTCGAGTGCCTTTTGCAATGGGAGCTGCACACAAGCCAGAGCCAGGGACAGGAAGCAAGCTTGCACAGTGGGCAGACATGAAGCCATAGTGTGGTTCAGAGGCTGAAGCGATCTTGCCACCCATCACTCCTCACTCCTGGTTTGATTCTGCCTCAAGGTCTCCTTCTGGTGCCTCAGGGAGAACAGGGGTTCCACAGGAGCTGAGAGTGATGCCTGGGTGGACATCAGGCTGGTTCCTGCTCTCTGATGTGACTGGGAGACTGTTGTGTGTGCCTCTACTGAGATGAATTTGCTTTGTTCTTCCACAGAACCGAGCTTGCAGAGTCCCGGACCTGCTGCCGAACCACAGTCAGGTATGGAGAAGGAGCTATGCTAGGTCCTGGGAGTCGATGGGAACATGAGCTTGGTACAAGCCCATATGGCTTCTGTCCTCGGTGCTCTGAGTTTCAGCAGGGTGGCAAGGGTGTGGTGACTTAGCATCTGTCTCATGGTCTGTCCCATCTGGAGACACAGCTACGTCATGTGAGACGTGACACCGAGTTGTCCTTAGCATCTTGAGATGGTCCGTGGCTCCATCTGCATGTCCCCACGCTCCTTTGCTAGTGTGCCATGCCAGGGAATTTCCAGTGGGACATGCTTCACAGCCCTCCTGCATGTCCACTTAGGAGATGGTGGGAGTAGGGGGTAAGAGACTGTGTGTGGCTGTGTCCAGATGTCAAGCGGGGCTGTGTTATGCAAATGCACTCAGGTGCCTTCTTGTTTTGCTTTTTCCTTAAACTTGGCCGGCCACACTGAACTTGATTTTTACATGGATGCAGGTATGGACAAAGAGCTCGGGCTCCTCGCACAATGTGATGCCAAGCCCATGTTTGAGGGGCACTTATGTCATCCTTCCTCTGTGACTGAGACACGGAAGGGTGCCTGTCAGCCACCTGTCTGAGAAGTAGCTTTCATGTTCACTATCGTTGTGTGACGTGGCCTGGAAAGGCTCTTTCTCCTGATAAATGGGCTGAGTTCCATCAGTGCTTTGGGGAAGTGCAGCAGCTCTCCCAGGGCACATGGGTGACAGCCATGGGCCAACTGGAATGCCCTCAGAAAGAAGCTGCAAGGGCCTGTGTGTGCCCTCAGACGTGCTTGGACCCTGGTGCATCCTCTCCTGCTCCACGGTTGTGTGTCGTTGAGGCTGTGTGAGCACTCTGCTAGAAATCCATTTTTGTGGCCCATGGGCCTCTGGATCCTGGCACATTTTCTGGTGCGTGAGTTGACATGCGGGGGCCTCTGTGGTCGGGAGGTACAGGGGAGGCAGGAGTAGGTTTCTGATCCTGGTCCAGAACATGGTAGTGGAGGGGAGGGGGTGTTCCTGGGAGGGAGGGGAGTGAGCCCAATGACAAGCAACAGCCCAGGACCCAGAACACCCTGGCTGGCCAGGGCCTGCAGTTGTCTCATAGCATAGCCTCTGCCTTCTGAGCTCCTCAGGAAGTCACCGAGCCACATGGCAGCTGCAGATGGCTTGGTTTCTCTTGCGAGGCTCAGGGTTATGGGGCAGGTTTGTTCCGTGGCCATGTTGGCCTTCTTGGTGCATCCTAGCATTGCTCTTGTGCCCAGGAAGAATGGCATTTTGACGGTCCTGTTCCCAGAAGCATGGGATTGAGGGGCCCACTTTGGTCAGGTTTCAGCTGCTAGGAAGCTTCTTAGGACACAGTCTCCAAGGCCCTGGCAATTCAGTGGATCTCGTGGGGTGTGTCTGAAACCAGCAAGGGTTATGTGTGCTTGTGCCCCGAAATGCCACCCAGGAGCCGATTTGGGGAAGGAGTCTGTGCGGCTCCCACATGACTCCGTGTATGCGTCGGATCCCATCCTGTGTGCCTGGTTTTGAGCTTCTCCCTGTGCTGAGATGAGCTTCCGAGAAGACTCGGAAGCATTGTGGGTGTCTGAGATGGGCAGGGCAAGTCTCCCCTGTTGCTTGTGATTGTGAGACGAGTCCATCTCCTGCAGCATGACCAGACAGTTTGGGCTTGTGTGCTTTCGCGTGTTGATCCCTGTTTGTGAATGTGAGCCCATGCTGACCAGTGGGGCTGGATCACATCCTACCCGCTGGGGGTGAATGGGGCTAGGTTGCACCTGCAAAGGGGCCCACCTGCATCAGGGCTCATCTCTCTCCTGAGGGACTGGAGGGAGCGGTGAGCACAGCCAGCTGGCTGCTTCTCCTTGGCACAACCCCATGCCTTGAAACAGCCACTGCAGACCAAGTTCCCTGAGCCTGCCCACCCTTCCTCAGCAGCTCAGATGGCTCACAGCTGCCCAGAACAGAGGCACTTTCTGCCTGCAGGTTTGTCCCTGTGTCCTGGAGAGCAAGGCAGGGGACATCTGGTATCCTCCTGGGTGTCCACAGCCACAAACAACGGTGGCACTCCTTTACTGAGGAAAGTGAGAGCGAGCACGAGAGAGCTGTGGCCTGAATCCTGATGGCTTCCTTAGGAGACCATTCATGTCTCTGAAAGTTCCTTTGTGTCTACAAGACTTGTCCAATGTAGAGTGTATTCTGAATACCACCTTCCTGGCCCACATCTGGAGCCCTTCATGGCCTAGTGCTTCTCGAGTGCCTTTTGCAATGGGAGCTGCACACAAGCCAGAGCCAGGGACAGGAAGCAAGCTTGCACAGTGGGCAGACATGAAGCCATAGTGTGGTTCAGAGGCTGAAGCGATCTTGCCACCCATCACTCCTCACTCCTGGTTTGATTCTGCCTCAAGGTCTCCTTCTGGTGCCTCAGGGAGAACAGGGGTTCCACAGGAGCTGAGAGTGATGCCTGGGTGGACATCAGGCTGGTTCCTGCTCTCTGATGTGACTGGGAGACTGTTGTGTGTGCCTCTACTGAGATGAATTTGCTTTGTTCTTCCACAGAACCGAGCTTGCAGAGTCCCGGACCTGCTGCCGAACCACAGTCAGGTATGGAGAAGGAGCTATGCTAGGTCCTGGGAGTCGATGGGAACATGAGCTTGGTACAAGCCCATATGGCTTCTGTCCTCGGTGCTCTGAGTTTCAGCAGGGTGGCAAGGGTGTGGTGACTTAGCATCTGTCTCATGGTCTGTCCCATCTGGAGACACAGCTACGTCATGTGAGACGTGACACCGAGTTGTCCTTAGCATCTTGAGATGGTCCGTGGCTCCATCTGCATGTCCCCACGCTCCTTTGCTAGTGTGCCATGCCAGGGAATTTCCAGTGGGACATGCTTCACAGCCCTCCTGCATGTCCACTTAGGAGATGGTGGGAGTAGGGGGTAAGAGACTGTGTGTGGCTGTGTCCAGATGTCAAGCGGGGCTGTGTTATGCAAATGCACTCAGGTGCCTTCTTGTTTTGCTTTTTCCTTAAACTTGGCCGGCCACACTGAACTTGATTTTTACATGGATGCAGGTATGGACAAAGAGCTCGGGCTCCTCGCACAATGTGATGCCAAGCCCATGTTTGAGGGGCACTTATGTCATCCTTCCTCTGTGACTGAGACACGGAAGGGTGCCTGTCAGCCACCTGTCTGAGAAGTAGCTTTCATGTTCACTATCGTTGTGTGACGTGGCCTGGAAAGGCTCTTTCTCCTGATAAATGGGCTGAGTTCCATCAGTGCTTTGGGGAAGTGCAGCAGCTCTCCCAGGGCACATGGGTGACAGCCATGGGCCAACTGGAATGCCCTCAGAAAGAAGCTGCAAGGGCCTGTGTGTGCCCTCAGACGTGCTTGGACCCTGGTGCATCCTCTCCTGCTCCACGGTTGTGTGTCGTTGAGGCTGTGTGAGCACTCTGCTAGAAATCCATTTTTGTGGCCCATGGGCCTCTGGATCCTGGCACATTTTCTGGTGCGTGAGTTGACATGCGGGGGCCTCTGTGGTCGGGAGGTACAGGGGAGGCAGGAGTAGGTTTCTGATCCTGGTCCAGAACATGGTAGTGGAGGGGAGGGGGTGTTCCTGGGAGGGAGGGGAGTGAGCCCAATGACAAGCAACAGCCCAGGACCCAGAACACCCTGGCTGGCCAGGGCCTGCAGTTGTCTCATAGCATAGCCTCTGCCTTCTGAGCTCCTCAGGAAGTCACCGAGCCACATGGCAGCTGCAGATGGCTTGGTTTCTCTTGCGAGGCTCAGGGTTATGGGGCAGGTTTGTTCCGTGGCCATGTTGGCCTTCTTGGTGCATCCTAGCATTGCTCTTGTGCCCAGGAAGAATGGCATTTTGACGGTCCTGTTCCCAGAAGCATGGGATTGAGGGGCCCACTTTGGTCAGGTTTCAGCTGCTAGGAAGCTTCTTAGGACACAGTCTCCAAGGCCCTGGCAATTCAGTGGATCTCGTGGGGTGTGTCTGAAACCAGCAAGGGTTATGTGTGCTTGTGCCCCGAAATGCCACCCAGGAGCCGATTTGGGGAAGGAGTCTGTGCGGCTCCCACATGACTCCGTGTATGCGTCGGATCCCATCCTGTGTGCCTGGTTTTGAGCTTCTCCCTGTGCTGAGATGAGCTTCCGAGAAGACTCGGAAGCATTGTGGGTGTCTGAGATGGGCAGGGCAAGTCTCCCCTGTTGCTTGTGATTGTGAGACGAGTCCATCTCCTGCAGCATGACCAGACAGTTTGGGCTTGTGTGCTTTCGCGTGTTGATCCCTGTTTGTGAATGTGAGCCCATGCTGACCAGTGGGGCTGGATCACATCCTACCCGCTGGGGGTGAATGGGGCTAGGTTGCACCTGCAAAGGGGCCCACCTGCATCAGGGCTCATCTCTCTCCTGAGGGACTGGAGGGAGCGGTGAGCACAGCCAGCTGGCTGCTTCTCCTTGGCACAACCCCATGCCTTGAAACAGCCACTGCAGACCAAGTTCCCTGAGCCTGCCCACCCTTCCTCAGCAGCTCAGATGGCTCACAGCTGCCCAGAACAGAGGCACTTTCTGCCTGCAGGTTTGTCCCTGTGTCCTGGAGAGCAAGGCAGGGGACATCTGGTATCCTCCTGGGTGTCCACAGCCACAAACAACGGTGGCACTCCTTTACTGAGGAAAGTGAGAGCGAGCACGAGAGAGCTGTGGCCTGAATCCTGATGGCTTCCTTAGGAGACCATTCATGTCTCTGAAAGTTCCTTTGTGTCTACAAGACTTGTCCAATGTAGAGTGTATTCTGAATACCACCTTCCTGGCCCACATCTGGAGCCCTTCATGGCCTAGTGCTTCTCGAGTGCCTTTTGCAATGGGAGCTGCACACAAGCCAGAGCCAGGGACAGGAAGCAAGCTTGCACAGTGGGCAGACATGAAGCCATAGTGTGGTTCAGAGGCTGAAGCGATCTTGCCACCCATCACTCCTCACTCCTGGTTTGATTCTGCCTCAAGGTCTCCTTCTGGTGCCTCAGGGAGAACAGGGGTTCCACAGGAGCTGAGAGTGATGCCTGGGTGGACATCAGGCTGGTTCCTGCTTTCTGATGTGACTGGGAGACTGTTGTGTGTGCCTCTACTGAGATGAATTTGCTTTGTTCTTCCACAGAACCGAGCTTGCAGAGTCCCGGACCTGCTGCCGAACCACAGTCAGGTATGGAGAAGGAGCTATGCTAGGTCCTGGGAGTCGATGGGAACATGAGCTTGGTACAAGCCCATATGGCTTCTGTCCTCGGTGCTCTGAGTTTCAGCAGGGTGGCAAGGGTGTGGTGACTTAGCATCTGTCTCATGGTCTGTCCCATCTGGAGACACAGCTACGTCATGTGAGACGTGACACCGAGTTGTCCTTAGCATCTTGAGATGGTCCGTGGCTCCATCTGCATGTCCCCACGCTCCTTTGCTAGTGTGCCATGCCAGGGAATTTCCAGTGGGACATGCTTCACAGCCCTCCTGCATGTCCACTTAGGAGATGGTGGGAGTAGGGGGTAAGAGACTGTGTGTGGCTGTGTCCAGATGTCAAGCGGGGCTGTGTTATGCAAATGCACTCAGGTGCCTTCTTGTTTTGCTTTTTCCTTAAACTTGGCCGGCCACACTGAACTTGATTTTTACATGGATGCAGGTATGGACAAAGAGCTCGGGCTCCTCGCACAATGTGATGCCAAGCCCATGTTTGAGGGGCACTTATGTCATCCTTCCTCTGTGACTGAGACACGGAAGGGTGCCTGTCAGCCACCTGTCTGAGAAGTAGCTTTCATGTTCACTATCGTTGTGTGACGTGGCCTGGAAAGGCTCTTTCTCCTGATAAATGGGCTGAGTTCCATCAGTGCTTTGGGGAAGTGCAGCAGCTCTCCCAGGGCACATGGGTGACAGCCATGGGCCAACTGGAATGCCCTCAGAAAGAAGCTGCAAGGGCCTGTGTGTGCCCTCAGACGTGCTTGGACCCTGGTGCATCCTCTCCTGCTCCACGGTTGTGTGTCGTTGAGGCTGTGTGAGCACTCTGCTAGAAATCCATTTTTGTGGCCCATGGGCCTCTGGATCCTGGCACATTTTCTGGTGCGTGAGTTGACATGCGGGGGCCTCTGTGGTCGGGAGGTACAGGGGAGGCAGGAGTAGGTTTCTGATCCTGGTCCAGAACATGGTAGTGGAGGGGAGGGGGTGTTCCTGGGAGGGAGGGGAGTGAGCCCAATGACAAGCAACAGCCCAGGACCCAGAACACCCTGGCTGGCCAGGGCCTGCAGTTGTCTCATAGCATAGCCTCTGCCTTCTGAGCTCCTCAGGAAGTCACCGAGCCACATGGCAGCTGCAGATGGCTTGGTTTCTCTTGCGAGGCTCAGGGTTATGGGGCAGGTTTGTTCCGTGGCCATGTTGGCCTTCTTGGTGCATCCTAGCATTGCTCTTGTGCCCAGGAAGAATGGCATTTTGACGGTCCTGTTCCCAGAAGCATGGGATTGAGGGGCCCACTTTGGTCAGGTTTCAGCTGCTAGGAAGCTTCTTAGGACACAGTCTCCAAGGCCCTGGCAATTCAGTGGATCTCGTGGGGTGTGTCTGAAACCAGCAAGGGTTATGTGTGCTTGTGCCCCGAAATGCCACCCAGGAGCCGATTTGGGGAAGGAGTCTGTGCGGCTCCCACATGACTCCGTGTATGCGTCGGATCCCATCCTGTGTGCCTGGTTTTGAGCTTCTCCCTGTGCTGAGATGAGCTTCCGAGAAGACTCGGAAGCATTGTGGGTGTCTGAGATGGGCAGGGCAAGTCTCCCCTGTTGCTTGTGATTGTGAGACGAGTCCATCTCCTGCAGCATGACCAGACAGTTTGGGCTTGTGTGCTTTCGCGTGTTGATCCCTGTTTGTGAATGTGAGCCCATGCTGACCAGTGGGGCTGGATCACATCCTACCCGCTGGGGGTGAATGGGGCTAGGTTGCACCTGCAAAGGGGCCCACCTGCATCAGGGCTCATCTCTCTCCTGAGGGACTGGAGGGAGCGGTGAGCACAGCCAGCTGGCTGCTTCTCCTTGGCACAACCCCATGCCTTGAAACAGCCACTGCAGACCAAGTTCCCTGAGCCTGCCCACCCTTCCTCAGCAGCTCAGATGGCTCACAGCTGCCCAGAACAGAGGCACTTTCTGCCTGCAGGTTTGTCCCTGTGTCCTGGAGAGCAAGGCAGGGGACATCTGGTATCCTCCTGGGTGTCCACAGCCACAAACAACGGTGGCACTCCTTTACTGAGGAAAGTGAGAGCGAGCACGAGAGAGCTGTGGCCTGAATCCTGATGGCTTCCTTAGGAGACCATTCATGTCTCTGAAAGTTCCTTTGTGTCTACAAGACTTGTCCAATGTAGAGTGTATTCTGAATACCACCTTCCTGGCCCACATCTGGAGCCCTTCATGGCCTAGTGCTTCTCGAGTGCCTTTTGCAATGGGAGCTGCACACAAGCCAGAGCCAGGGACAGGAAGCAAGCTTGCACAGTGGGCAGACATGAAGCCATAGTGTGGTTCAGAGGCTGAAGCGATCTTGCCACCCATCACTCCTCACTCCTGGTTTGATTCTGCCTCAAGGTCTCCTTCTGGTGCCTCAGGGAGAACAGGGGTTCCACAGGAGCTGAGAGTGATGCCTGGGTGGACATCAGGCTGGTTCCTGCTCTCTGATGTGACTGGGAGACTGTTGTGTGTGCCTCTACTGAGATGAATTTGCTTTGTTCTTCCACAGAACCGAGCTTGCAGAGTCCCGGACCTGC